ATTCCTGAATAATACATTATTTAATGTCCACATTATGAAGGGTTGGCACAACCACCGCAGGGCAGGATGCGGCCTCCACCACGGCAGACGACTAAATGGAAGAAGGGCTGAAGAGGAGTCCTCTGAGGAGGGTCCCCTCCCTGCCTGGATGCTGAGGATTGGACCAGGCACCAGGGCTGGGACCAGGGATGGGGCCCACAGGCCATCAGCTGCTTACTCTCCTGAGAGCCAGTGTGGTGCAGTGGTTAAGCGCACGGGACTGGGACTCAGGCGATCCGGGTTCGAGTCCCCGCTCAGCCACGGAGCCAACTGGGTGACTTTGGGCCAGTCACAGCCTCTCAGCCCAACCTACCTCACAGGGTTGTTGTTGTGGGGATAAGATGGAGGAGGAGGAGAATGATGTAAGCTGCCTTGAGCCCTTTGTAGGAAAAAGGCAGGATATAAATCGCAATATAAATAGATAAATAGATAAATAGATAGATAGATAGATAGATAGATAGATTTCTGCCCCCTCGGTCTTGGGCTGGCCTTCATAGCACAGGAAGGAAATGCCCCTCTTGCATTCATCCCATTCCCGGGAAACTGCAGTCTTGCTCAGAAACCACGAGCTGAATGCTTATTGCATGTTTAGAATATTCGTATCAATGTCCTAGTTTTCAATTATATTAAGGTATGTCTGATTTTTATTTAAAAAAATTATCGTGATTTTATTATGTTTCTATATTGAATATTAATTGCATTATTTTATTAGCATTATTTGATGATATCCTATGGAATGGCCACCCAGAAAGCATGGTGCGAAAGGGCAGCTTTAAAAATTAAATTCAAAATATTTTAAAAAATAAAGCTAAGCATTTAATTAAAATTAATTAAGCATCTTAGCTTATGCTACTCCTGTATGCTACTCCTGAATCCTACTCCTTTAGGAGCTGGCTGAACTGCAGGGCTTAGATTACGGCTTTTCCTGGCCTGGGTGAGCTGGCCTGGGGACAGGCTCTGGGCAGGATGGGGCCCACCCTGAAAGTGCGGCTGGCCCCCACGTGCCCCTACAAGCAGACCAGGCTCCGAAGGTGCTCCTCTCCGAGATTCCTGAGAGCAGGAGGACATCCCCCTTGCTCCACACCAGCTGGCCTCAAACCCTCTTTCCTGCACTAAACCCCAAAAGCCCTTTCAGCCCAGCTCACAAGCGTCCTGCTGGTCCCCGGATTCACAGAACCGCGGACACTGGCCGAGCAGAGGGGCAGCCAGGGAGGCAGCCTGGGAGTACGATTGCACCCATGCAGGGGGGATGACGGGATCCATGCCTGCTCGGGGACCCAGGTGGGGGGGGAGGCGTCCCTTGCTCAGTCGCCACCTCGGCTTCTCATCAGGCGTCTGGTTGGCCACTGGGGGAAGAGGATGCTGGGCCAGAGGGGGCTCCAGGTCAGTCCCGCAAGCCTTGGGTGCTTGCAGCCTCTTCTCTGCCTGAGCGTTCGCCCTGCTGCACCTCCTCCTGGGAATTCACTCACCTCTGACAGCGATGCGCACGATGTTGCTTGGCAAGGACTGGGTCAGTCTCCCACCTCGTAGGATCCAGTAAGCACAGCTGTAATTCCCAGCAGTGTCCGGACCCACCTGGAAAGTTGCGGAACCCTTCCTTTCAGGCAGCGGCTGCTTGTGGCTCTGCCCTGGTTGTCTCTTGTAGAAGGCATAAGCTGGTGCTTTCAGACCTCCTGGAGCAGAACAATTTAGCGTCACCTGTTCTCCTCGGATGAAGACAAAGTGTTGGGGATGCAGGGAAAGGGTGCCAGGCAGGGGAGGCTCTGCAATTCCTGGAAAGAGGAGAGGGAGAGAAAGAGATTCCCTCAGTCAGGAAATGGAGTCACGGAACCTCACTCCAACGCTCCTCAGCCTCCTTTTCTCAAGGGTAGAAAGGGAGGAACAAGCCAACTTGTGGGGAAGAGGGAAAAGCAGGGGATGCTTCTGACCTCAATATTCCAGCAGCCAAGAAGGTCATTTGAGGAAGCCGAATTTTGAAGATTCGGGAGAGATAAAGGAAGGACTCGGTATTTCATTGCACTGTGGAATTCACCACCGGAAGGGGCAGCCAAGACCGCCCATACAGTGGCTTCCACGGGGGATTCAATACCTCCGTGGAGGGTGCTCTGATCGAGAGTTGCGGCAGAAGGTGGGCAGAACCTTGCGCTTTTGCTCATACCCCGCAGTGGGCTTCCCACTGGGGCATCCTGGGGGCACAGGCTGTGGGGCAGAGAGCCCCCCCCCTTCATTTTTTCTTTGCCTCCCTCATCCTCTTTTGCTTTTCAAGACTCTCCTGGGGATGGCTGGTCCTCACAGCCCTTTGCATAAAACTCAGCCTTTTCCACTTCTCCCCTTCACCGTACCTGAGATCCTCTCTCGATCTCCTCTCCCATAGTACTCCAAATACAGAAATAAGGCATCATTCTCACTCCGTCTCCACTCCCATAACACTCCGAATACAGAATTAAGTATTAATTAATGTCCCCCGACTGAGTTGCCCCTCCCATTTTGGCTGCTCACTCACCTCTCACGGCTACGGGAAAGGTGTTGCTCCGCACAGACTGGATCGCCTTCCCACCTTGTGCCAGAATCCAGTAAGTGCAGCTGTACCACCCAGCAGAAGCTTCACCCACACGGAGCACTTCGGCGGCACCCATCTGCTTACGGGGCAGTTGCTCGGGGGGCTGCTCGGGGAGCTCCTTGTAGAATGTGTATCCCGTCGCTTGCCGCCAATCCGGAGCAGAACATGTCAGGGTCAGCTGTTCTCCTTGGACGTAAGTGGAATTTGGGGGATCCACAGAAAGTGTTGCAGGTGGTGGGGACTCTGCGATTCCAGTGGAGCAGGAGAGGGAGAGGAAATACAACTGTTAGCCAAGAAAGATGATTTCAGGGAGAATAACCTCAACCGCTCTCACAGAACTGGACTCTCCGAGTTACCTAGGGAGGAAGCTGTGGCAACCTGGCTCACTGAAGCTTCGGTTTTGAATCGAGACTTGCCGTGCAAGCACATCTTGCATCGAAGCATGAGCCCTGGAGCCCCAGCACTGAGCTGTCCTGCTTCCTGACACTCTTCCGGCTCCTCGAACCACTCCAGGCACCACAGAGAAGTCCCACCCTTCTCCCTCCTTGGCTTTCACACTGTCTCCCTGTTTCCAAGAGCAACTGCAGAGACAGACGCATGGCTCAGCCAATGGGCATGAAGTGAGCATTGATTCGGCCTCTCTTGCCAGAGCACTCTCTGGTACTTCCAGACCAACAATGGTAGGAGGGCAATCTTGCATCCGTATGACTGGAGAAGCCACACGGAAGAGTGGAAACTTGGGAATGGACCACTGATGCTCTCCATGGCTTCAGGAAACGTGTCCCTCCATGCAGGGCAATCTAGATTTCCCCGTGGCCTCTCCCCTACAGGGGTGCAACATTTAAACCCAGAGTGATCCTTACCATGGAGGGAGAACAAAATCTCATTACTCAAGGGAGAAACAGGATTGCTTCCCGTGATCTTTTCTCCCAGATAACGACACGCAAAATATTCCCTTCGCATCAGATGATTTGTGGAGATCTCCAGACTCTTTTCTTCCTGGTGTTTAAACTGGGTGAAATGACCTCTTGCATCTCTTCTATAGAGATAGAAATACTTTCCCCTCTGAGATTCCGGGGAAAAACATTTCAGCCAGATCCATGTGCTGTGGTCAGACTTGCGGTATGGAAAGGACATGGTCAGCCAGGGCGCTGGGGCAGCTGGAACAGCCTGGGGAGCTGCTGGGGGGAAACAACAGCCCGGTTGAAATCTGGAGGGGTGAGTTAAATGCAGCTACCCGCCCCCCCATTTTAGTATCATCTGCAAATTCAGTCCGAGAAGCTCTCCTTCTCTCGGCGCAGCATCCGCCAGGCACCCTCTGTCCAAAGTGAAACACAAGAGCCTCCGGAAGCCAGCCCGACTTCAGAATAATTTGTCTCATTCAGTTCACGAGGTATAACTGCTCTTGATGGTTAGCATCTGAGACCACAGCATATGACCTGTCACTATTTACTTGTGAATGAACCTAAAAACATTCCTGGCAAACCGACCAGGATGGGCAACGTCCTCTATTTCAGCCCTGCCGGAGTTTAGTTTCACGAGAGAAGGGCTTGGCTCGCCATAATCTCTTTTGAGCCATATATTTTGGGACAAGACGGCTGCAGGATGCCGGGAGCAACTCGAGGCCTTCTTACCTGCCATGGGCAGCATCCAGGTAAGTGCTGAACAGGTGACTGAAAGGGGAAAGAGAGAGGGTGTCAGGATCATGGTAAGCTCTGGTGTTGTGTTGCTGCAAGAGAGGCAGCTTAGAGAGCTTGAAGAGGAAGAAGGGGCTGCAATATGCAGGGATGGAGATAAAACGCAGATATTGTGAAGTGAAGAGAGCTTTGCAAGCCACAGAAAAGGTTTCCATTCAGAGGGGAAATGACAGCAACCCTGAAGCTGCAGGCACCTGCAAAAGTGACATGTCGCAGCTCTGCTCTGTCAAAGACGGGCCTGAAGCAGGACCGTTGAGCAAGACCTGAAGTCTCCTTTGCTTGCTCAAGGAGATCAGCCTGTAATAAGGAGCTCATTAACCAGGACGTTCCCCCATTGCTCCATCCCCTTCCTGCGCAAAGCACCCTGGAAATTTGGGGAGCAGTGAGAAATCCAAGCTCAGAAATCCAGAAAGAAACAGAGAAACAGAGTGAGTCAGAAGGGACCTCCCAGGCCATCTAGTCTGACCCCCAGCTCCAGTCAGCTCCACTCACAACATGCCCACCATGTGCCTGTCCTTGAACACCCTCACCGATGGGGCCTCAACCACCTCCTGTGGAAGCCCATTCCATACCCCAGGGGTCCTGACTGCCAGGAAGTGCTTCCTGGCATCCAAGGAAGGGGAGTTCCCAGGTAAGGCTCGGAGAGGGAGGGGAAAGGGCCATACCTGTCAGCCAGGCAAGGAGCTCCATGCCAGCCCCGATCTCTGTGTGCCCCACGTTGGGCTCCGCGGCTCCCAAGAGAGGCGAAGACCCTGTCCCCTCCCAGCAACGAGCGGGGCAGGAACTGCGTCATCACCTCCCCAGCACACGCCACCCACATCAGAAGCACACGGCTCAGCCCAGAGGCCGTGGCCACACCGAGAGTGTACCAGGAGCGACGGAGCCGCTTCACTGCATCCGGCCTGCTCTGCCCCTCCCGCCCCTTCTTCTGACCAAGGCTCCGAAGAGCAGCAAAGAGCAGCCGGGGGGGGGGGGGGGGGGAGACGGCGAGAAGCCGGCGTCATGCTGTTCCCGCCCCCCAACTGGAACCCCAGCCCGGAACCTGCTCCACCAGCCCCACAGCCCCGCTCCCAGATCAGGATCCTTCCTGCAACAGACCTGCTGGGTATGCGACCTTATTGTCACAGGGAGGTGGCTCCCCTTGTTTTTCTGTGGCGAGTTTTGCTTTTGGGATGTGCATCTTAAGGAACCATGGCAACCATGAGAAACGGGATGCTGCACCTGAATGATTTTATTTGCTGCCGTGCCAATTTTGTGCTCAGCCTTCTCGAGCCCTTCTATTTGTGCTTTATAACTTATTGGTTATGCCCTTTGTAATGCCTTACGGTAGACAAACACACCTGAAGACTGGGGGCTGTATAGAGGCCCAGAAACACCCAAGGTTCCTTTAGAGTATGAAACCTGAAGCCAGGGGGGTTTGTGGTGTCTCCGTGAAAAGAGAGAGCGAGGCGGCTTCTTCTGAAGAGGATCTGGCACGTTTCGCTTCCGAGCCCAAACCATCGCCTTGACTATACGCACTTTTGTCGGCAGGGCATCGTTTAAGTGCTGCTAAATTAGTCACTGTTGGCAAATGAAGACTTGTGATGGTTCCTTGTATAAAAGGTTGAATTGTTATGATACAACGTGGGCTTTTTAACATTTTAAAATTAAGGGAATGTTTTCAACCACGTGAAGATAGAAAAGGAGCTGAACATCTTTGGATGACATTTATTGCTTCCATGAAGGAACAATTTAATTTGCATATCAGTCAGCGCTTTTGCAAATTACTGTTACTGTAAATTTAGAGGAAGTAATTGGATGGCGTGTATACTGAAGTTTGGGGAAATTAGGATTCTTTCTTTCTGGCAATTAGTTATATATAGCTTTTATTTGTAATTGCAGCTTTATTTAATCCGTGTGATGCTTTGAGTGTATGTTTATAGTGTATAATATATATTATAATTTATTATTATTATTATTATTATTATTATTATTATTATTATTATTATCAGAACCTTTCTAAGCCGCCCCGTGGCGTCGCCACGGGGCAGCTTACAACACAATAAAATACATTGAAATACAATAGAACATAATAAATTACCACTAAATACAAAAATACAAAAAATACACTGAGATACAAACATAATAATATAAATAAGGTCTGCAGTTTTGTTGCAACATCAGAAGTTTGCAGACGTGGAGAAACAGGTGCTAAAAAGAGGAAAGGAGGTTTTGCAGAAGGCACAGATGCTGAGGTGGTGAATCATGGTTTAGGCAAAGGAGGAAGATCCCGTTTGCTGTTCCACTCTTGCTTCAACCTCGTCCCTCCGATCTATCACCAGCAGTAATTTTGTGTAACGTGTCCCGTGAGTTGAGCCAGGTCAGCCTCAGTGGGCATGTCCAGAAGCAGAGGCAACTCTGCAGATCTTAAAGCAGCCGGGCCAGGCCTGGAGCTGAGCAGGCGCTGAAGGGCCGAGCATTACCAGCCCAGTCCGGCTGGCAAGGTGTGTCTGACAGGCAGTGCGACTTATCAGTGCTCACACATTGATCCAAGGAAAAGATCAACAGATCCCTCCACATCTGCCGTGCAACATTTTCTTTCCAATGGCTGAAGCTCAGTTTCACCACAGAGTCAACTGATCATGACAAAATGGATCCAAACATAATTAGTTGGTTATGAGACATGCTGTGCATCTCTAGGAACTTCAACACTTGAGGGACCTAATCTGCTTGAAAGTGCTGAGAAAGGAATCGTGTATTTTGAGAGGGGATCCACACTGGACGCTCGGAAATCTAATCTAATCCTCTCTTAGTTTTGAGGAGTGAAAAGCCAAGGAAGGAAGCAGAGTGGGGTAGATTCTGGAACCTTCCAAGTTATACTTTGCTGGTTATGGTTCAAAATAAATATTTTCTCCAACAAAAAGTGAACAGGTTCTCTTTCCTGTGTTCCAACCTGAGGCCAACTGGATCTTTCCCAAGGAAGATTTTTACTTGGATTTCTAGTGGAAGACCCCAGCCAGTGAGGGGAAACATTGAAACAGAGAGAAATTAGACCCCTGCATGTCTCCTAAGGCTCAGGGGAAAGCTCCGCACTAAGATTTTGATTATGCCACACACGATGATCACAGCTCTTACTTCCTTCTTTTCTCATTTCTGAGAACACAGTGCTGCTTTGAGCTATTTTTAATTGCTTTCGTCAAATGTGAGGACAGGCAAGCCAGAGCAAGGAGGGGTGTGGTGAGCTGGCCTGGACAACCTGAAATATCCCTTTGAGTGGCCAAGTCATCCTCTTCGAGGCAAGCAAGCAGCCCTGTGGTGGAGCTGTGGACCATCCCGGTGGCCTTTTCTGAAGATGAAGTCAGTGGCTTTGGTGACAGGTTTGGATCTTCTCTTCTCCCTTCCTGCCACAGATCTGGAACTCTTTCCCCACCTCTGCTCCTGCCTCCCAGCATCTCTCCCCTTTCCTTTCCTCCCCTGTCTTTATTATCAGGACCCTTCTCAGTGGATCACGCACAGGATCCAAACGTAAGTTCTGTTCTTGCTAAAATCTCAACTAAAAGCGGAGAGGAGAACTTTGTCAAAGAGAAGGTGCAAGTGGGGAAGGAACAGGTCAAGGGCAATCGGGCCGCCAGCTGAGAGGAACCCCTGGGTGCCGGAATTCAGTGGGGTTCCCCCAGTCCCCATAAAGAAGAGACCACACGGAAACCACAGACAGGGTTAGAAGCCCAGAAAGTGATGTGCCATGTGCTTTTCACGCAAAGGAATGCAAACTTTCTTCATGGCTATGGTAGAGTCCTCACCGGGAGGCAAGGAGGTGCTGGCCCTGCTCCAGGCTGACAGACGGGGCTCCAGTCGTCCCAGGAGACGATTCTGTGGATCGCAGACGGCTGTTTCCAAGGGCTGTGCAGTACAACGTAGCGTTGCTTCCATGGGTCTGAATTTTGCAGGCTTGCCAGTGGTGCTAGCTCTCTACCAGTGCTCTTAATCTGGGGGATCTACGCACTGTCAAAGTCTGCAGGTTACCGGCACTCTCTCCCCTTTGGAAGGCTCCTTCCCTCCTTGCTTTGCTTCTCCTCTGAGGATTTCAGCAGCATCTTGTTTTCTGCATGAACCCCAAAGAAGGATGCAACGGTGAGTTTGTGTCATGTGAAACCACTGCTGCTTTTGCAGGTAGGTTTAATTATACCTACAACCTTTTCAGGGACCTCTGCGGTTGTGTCTGAAAAAATCTTTGCAAGTTTCATAGTTAGGTTTTTCTAGCATAGTGAGAAATGTTTAGTCCTTCAGATTTAGCTGAGAAGTTCTCCAGTCAAAAAGAAAATGGTATCTATCCCCTGCCAGAAAAAGGGAAGACATAAACTGTTGTAACCTGCGGTGTTACAGATGAGACCAGAGACCAGATGGTAAAATAAAGAGGAGGTTTATTCCTGCGGCAGGGATCACATTCATAGAGGAATGCGGTCCCGAATGGAGTTTGAATGAGGTTTTTATAGCTTCACAGTGAGTTTTCGGTAAATGGGAAACAATACAATCAGTTTTTGACAGAGATCAGAACAATGGTGACAACGGGATGTTACAAAATCACATAGCAGCAGTTAAGCAAGGATATAGAAGCAGACTTGATTAACAGTAAGTTTTATCTTTTAATTTACACCTTCCAAGCAATCTTTGTCCATTACGTTGTAGTTGTACGTAAGCTCTTTCCACTTTCCGAGGGGAATTCTCTGAGGCAGTTACTAGTCATTTGAATGGGCTAGAGCTCAGGAGAGTTAAGCCTATCATGCACACCCTGAGACAGTTTTATTATTCTAGTGTTTGGCCGTGTCATGCCTATCTGGGGCCTAGAGGAGTCATGCCTATCTGGAGCCTAGAGGAGTCATGCCTATCTGGATGTCCTGAGAAAGCTGATAGATATTTCTAGTATATCAGGATCCTGGGGAGTCAGGCATAACATAAACCTGTAATAATTAGAAGGCAACATCAGTGGAATTAACAATCTATGCATTGTATTAGAAATGCATTTTAACACTCACTTTTTAATTAGAGAATTTCCACGATGTTGGGGGAGCTGAATGCCATGTCTGGAAAAATTCCAAAGGTTCAGGATGCAGCAGATTTAAGGAGGAAAAATAAGGAAATGGGAGGCACCAAGCTTGACCCGTTTGCTCATCTCCACAGTAGAGTCTGTATGAGAATTCGTAGTCCGTCTTAGAGCTCAAAATGGGCTGTCCAGATTCTGCTGAGTTTCTGTCCTCGGCAGCCTACCTCTTTCTCAGTTTCTCTGCATGTGGAGGAGCAGGTGCTCTTAGAACCAAGAAAAGCACAGCAAATCCCACCCCCACCCCATTGCCTATATAAATTTGTCCGATTGTTGGAACTCCGGGGCTTGCTCAATGCTTGTTCAGTGGAAATTACTCCCGTTAGCACAGGCAATTCCTGGGACTTCCTGCCCACAGCCTCTCCCCGTGTCATTTTCCTTTTTGGCTTTGCCTTGCCGAACTTTCACTGCATCATGTTTCCTCTCTACATCTGTCACTTTCAGTTTTAGCCGAGCTTTCCCTCTCCGTCCAGGTGGTGGCTACTCATCCTTTCTGTCAAAGGTGCTTCTGTTACTTTCCTGGTTGCTCCCGTCCCTCCTTCCTCCCACCCCTTTTTCCACCATCAAGATGGCTTCTGACAGGGGCAGAAACCCTCTTGGGTCAGACGTCGGCCCCATCTGGTCAGTGCTTACTCCTGATGTCCTCTCTCTTTTCTCTTTCAGTCGCATGCGCAGCACTTTCCTGGATGCTGCCCGTGGCAGGTAAGGAGACCCTGAATCCCACCCTGGAGCTTGCAGGCCATACTGAAAGACACTCCCAAGCGGAGACCATGGAGAGAGCAGGGCTGTTTGGGGTCTGAGTTTTTAGCCAGTGGCACAGGAAAACGAAACTAAAAACTAAAAGCACTGGCAAGAACTGACTTCAAGAGCTTCCCGCAACAGCTCTACAGAGAACAAAATCAGGACTTTACCCATGTGTAGGAGTGGGAAGTGCTTCGGATCATTTGCACACGGGGGCTTCAAAATATGATAAACTTCCCCCTGCTGTATTTGAGGATCTTCTTCGGCTGGGGGTGGGTTGCTTACGCATTCTGTCCTAATACCACCACTTAAGAAACACTGACCAGTTCTTGCATAAAGAGCAAAGCTCTATTTAAATGCTCCGGAGAGGAGCCATAAACTTCAAAGTTCTAAGCAATTCTCCCCATGTAGTAATCCTACATCCTTCCTCTTCACATGTCTTTACTACCCTGGTGCATATTCTGTTCTGTAATTTGCCCTTGAGTAACCCTACTGACTCTTTCATGACATTGTCCCAAAGTGCTGGGACTAAAATATCCCCAGCTTTCAGCTTCTTCGATTTTACAGCTCTTTCTAAATAACAGTGCTGGGGAGGGGGGGGGGCAACAAAGCCACCCTGGAAAGTATATACAAATAGCTGGGCAGGTTGACTGTACCATGCCCCCCCCACCCCCAAAAAAGGGCACAGGACAAGGTTCAGTTCAAATCATCATTTTAAAGGTATGATTCTAAGCTAAATGCTCCAATAAACAATGAAAATCCATTGAAGACAATCCATGTTTGAATGTTTAAACCTGATTTTGTTTTTTTCGAATTTGAAGACCTAACTATTGCTATGCAGTGAAAAAAAAAAATCAGCAAGCCCTGCTGTTGGGCATGCAGAGTTCTGCATTTTTCCTAGCCTCAGGAAGAAGGAAAATGCAAATTCCATGATGGTGCAAAGCTGCTCCCCGGAGGAGGGGTGGCCTGTCAGAACAAGGTTTTTTGGATCCTGCATTTTTATAGCCCCAGAAACTTCCTGCTGGACTGTACAATCACTCAGCATGTGACACCTACTAGGTTTTTTCCCCCTTAAATGCAGGATGACTTGCAAATAGACTTATTTCCTTTCACCAGTGTAGCATATACTTGAGAAAAGAAGTGGATGCGATAAGCCACAGGGGAACAGTGGAGTTTACAGATTCAAGTAGCTTCCATCCCAGGGACCCTCTGAATCCACGACTGCCTGATCACTGAGACTACCTCATTCAGGGTGGCACCCAGAATTCTTTTCTGTGCCTCTGATGCCAGACTAGAAGGTGCAGCCCACAAGTCTGTGGTAAAAACCATTTGGTGGAAGAGGGAAAGACGTCTCTTAACTGCTTGCTCCAAGGAGGAAATAGGTTTGGGGGATCTAAATGGCGTTGTTTATCCTTTCCCAGCTCCCCAGGCTGTTCCAGCTGCCCCAGCGCCCTGGCTGACCATGTCCTTTCCATACCGCAAGTCTGACCGCAGCACAAGGATCTGGCTGAAATGTTCTCCCCGTGAAGGCTGGAGACCAGAGTTGTTCTATTTCTACTGGAGATCTGAACACAGTGAATGGACCCAGCTTACATACCGGAAAATAAATCTTTTGGAGGTCCCCACAAGTTATCTGACAAAGCAAGTATTTGCTTGCTTGTACCAGGAGAGCAAGAATGGCAGAAGGTTCCACTCTCCATTCAGTAACGAGGTGGCCTTCTCTCTCAGTGGTAAGGATCCGCTAGTTTTCAGTGCATCATGCGCAAATAAGGTGGGAACTGTGGAAAGCCGGGGACTTCTGGAAGACACAGGGCCTGGTTCAACGAGTGGAGCTGAGATGTTCGGAGTTCAGTGCTTCCTTCTGCTTTGTGAAAACTGTGACTCTTTAGCATGTCTCATTGCAAAGCAGAACCCTATATAAGTCTGGCGAGTTCTGTGAAGAGCCGAGGATATATTCTCCAAGGCCTCCTGAGCTCTTTTCCTGACTTTCTGGTTTCTTTTCTCTCCCACTTCTTCTTCCCTGGTACCCCTAGAATCGCCCCCACCAGCAACCCTTTCTCCGAATCCCCATTACCCTTTTTACATCCCAGGGGAAGAGGTGACCCTGACATGTTCAGCTGCAGATGCGTGGAAGGTGAGAAGCTACACGTTCTACAAGCATCTACCAGGCCAGCTGCCCACACAGCTGCCCCGTCAAGGGACGGGGCCCGCTGAACATCTCCGCGTGGAGGAAGGTTCTGCCGCATTTTACAGCTGTACTTACTGGGTTCTGTCACAAGAAGGAAATGAGATCCAGGCACAGCAAAGCAACATCTTCAACCTAACTGTGAGAAGTGAGTGAGTTAAACAAGTTTTGCAGGTGGGCAACATAATCAGCACAGATCTTGGCCTAGGACCCTTCGCCACAGGAATTTTGCTTTGTGCATTTCTCTCCCATGTTCTGAAGGCCTTTCCATGTGATGGGTGTGCCACAGGACAGAAGAAGTTCCTCTAGATGTGATGTAACCTTCACACCCAGTGGGGAAATTTGTCTCAGATGTTCAACTGTCCCTACTCCACCACTTCTCCTTCCCCAGGCAATCCGGCACAAAACACGGGGAAGGGAAGGACTGACCACTGCAGCTCTCGGTCACATTTCCACTTCACTTCCATCTGCACCACCTTGAAGAAAAGCAGTTCAGAGTCGTGCCAGATCGGCTCAAGGGTCACCCACAGCAGACAACCAGATGCCCCACTGGGAAGCCAGAAGCAGGGCCTGTGCAAATGGTCACCTTGCACTGGAGTCCCCAGCATCCACTGCTCATGACGTTTCTCTCATTGCTTTCTAAAGCTCTCACTTGTGATAGCACATTTAACAAACTCTGGGTCAGGTTCTTGCGAAAGCCAGAGGAAAAGAGATCAGCACCATGGAGAGCCCACTTGGTGCCGGAGCTTGATGCTAAACTAGGACGGTCTTCATGTTCCTCTGTGAACCATGAGAGAAAGACTGAGCCTTCATGGCCATTTGACCTGTGGCCAATCTCATTACCCGATCTCTGACTGGTGCGCTTGATGCCGGCTCCTGGGACACCCCCCGGCTCTCTCCTGCCCTGAGTCTGCAAGTGCCTTTGGGTGCCCCCTCACCATCTGGGTCAAATAGGTTGCACAATATGATCCTGAAGCAATGCTGAATTTCATTCTGTGCTCAGTATTTTCTTCTGCAAGCCACTCAGGGTGAAAGCATTGTCTGAAAAGTGCATCTCTCTGACTGAGGTACAACCTGCCTAGGAATATTTATTTTATTTATTTAAAGCTTGTATAAACCACCCATCTACTGGCGTCCTGGTACAGCTTACAACAAGCAACAAGTAAAATAGGAAATAAAATAAAATGACACAGCATCCGATAATACTACAATATAAAACCGCATTAAAACTAATTAAATGTTAAAATGACAGGAAAATAAAATAATTTTTTTTACCCACTGCCAAAAAAAGAAAAAGAAAAGGTTGGTGCCAGACAAACCTCTCTGGGGAGCATATTCCATAATCAGGGTGCCACCACAGAGAAGGCCCTTCAGATAACCACCCTCCTGATCGCTTTCAAGGAGGGCCCCTGAAGAAGGACCTCTGCCTCAGATCCCAAGGGGTGGGAGGGCATATAGGGAAGGAGGCGCTCCTTCAGGTACCTAGGGCCCAAGCTGTTTAGGGCCCTATAGGTCATCACCAGAACCTTAAATTGGGCCTGGACTTCAATTGGCAGCCAGTGTAAATGGAAAAGGACCGGCATTATATCCAAATACCTGCTGGTCCCCATTAATACCCTGGCAGCTCGGTTCTGGACCAGCTGAGGTATCCGGACTGTCTTCAAGGGCAGCCCCACGTAGAGCATGTTACAATAATCCAGTCGGGAAGTTACCTGGGCGTGGGTCCCCATGGCTAGGCATTGCTCATCCAGGTAAGGGTGCAGCTGGTGGATCAGCCACAGCTGAAGAAAAGCGCATCACCTGAGATTCCAGTGACAGCTCTGGACCGAGGGGCACACGCAAATGTGTGTTGGTACATGTCACACCAGTTTGATTCTTCTCTCCTTTGTCTTCTGTTTGATCTCCAGAAACTCCTCCAGCTCCGCAGCTTTCCGTGGCTCCGTGGCACTCTGTGTACACGCAGGGGGAGAGCATTCGCTTGAACTGTTCAGTCCCTGAAGGGGTGCCTGTAGTAGCTTATGCCTTTTACCAAAAACAAGATCAGTGGTCCAAGGAGCTTGCGCATACAAAAAGGTTGCCCTACACAGCTTTTGGAGTGGATGAAACAACTGCTGGGAATTACAGCTGTACCTACTGGCTGTCGCTATCCTGGCAAACGCTTGAGTCCAGTCAGAGCAGCTTCGTCTCCATAGCCTGGACAGGTGAGCCAGTCCCAGGTGCAGCTGGGTGAAGGCCAACCAGATGCTCAAGTGGTCCATGGGAAGCAAGCCTTAGGAAATTTGCACTTTCCCTGGGAGCATTGTCCTTGGGGAAATTCTCTCTCAAAGCCCTCTATTTACATCGATGGGCATCACTCCATCCCTCCCTCCTGTGAAGAAGAGCTCCCTCTTATCTGCCTGGGGCTTCCCAAATTCCCACTTCCAAGCTGCCAGGGCCCCTTCCCCTGGTCACTCTCCATCAGGGTGGTGGTAGGGATGAGGCTCTGATGAGCGTGGAGGTGGGTTTGGCACACAATTTATGGACTCCTCATCTGTCGTGCCTGATGCCTCAACAGAGGCGGCACCTCACGAGGAAGAGTCAAATGCCCAAAGAGAGAATCAGGCATCAGAACAGGAGGTCTTATACTTGAGGCCCTGTGACCAAGTGACCCTTCCACAACCTGGCTTGGGAGTAGCTGAACAGGTAGCCGTCCCTCATCCTGACCCTTTATTTATTTATTTATTAAAACATTTCTATGCCGCCCCATTCGCCGAAGCCTCGGGGCGGCTCACAACATAAAATTAAAATACAAGAAATAACAATATAAAATAGGTCACCCTGGCCAGATAAAATAAGCAAATAATATTAACAATTAAAATGATGCTTAAATAAAAAGGTCATTTACCCCCTGGGCAAACAGCCATGCCTCAGCCCGACCATGAGGGCCCCGAGGGAAAAGACACTACACGTTCTGCCCCTGAAGAGCGGGGGCAGGATGCCCCCTTCCTCCTGATGCTGAGTGTCCTGAACAAGATACAGGAGATGCAAAGAGGCAGGATAGATTTGACTCGCGTGACTCTCAGACGTAGCTCACGCTGATTGGAACAAAAGGAGGCTTTGTCCCACCTTAGAGGGGAAAGGTGGGACAGAGAAAGCTAATCCCACGTGGGTTCCCTGAGAGATGACACTTAGAAGATAGCAACTAACTTGTAAAGGTCATTGCAGCAGAGCTGATCCGTAGCATTGTAGATCTTGTAGAAAAGTAGCAATAAAAGACTTTAGTTTTATTGCCTGCGTAAGTGTGGGTCACAACATCACCCCATAAAACGTCCTTCACAGAGTGGGGCCCTGTCAGTGCTCCGTGATCGATCTCAGATGCAGTTTCCCGAAAAGGGGGCAGCGTCACTGAAGGTACCAGAGCTGCCAAGGAGTGCTTTCTCCATCCAACCCTGGAGAAGAGGCAATGCTTCACGATGAGAGTGCAAATGGACTGAATCTTTGTCTCTGAAGAGCCGCTGGCCCATTTGAGCAAAACCGTTCAAAACTTTTTTCTTGTGTAAGCTGTTTCAAGCAAAAGCATTTCCTTACAAGTGGTGGCACATGCCTCAGAAACCTGGCAAGTGTGTTTGCACCCTGCTTGGATCCTTCTCTCTTTTCCCTCTAGAAACTCCGGCTGCAGCAAACCTTTCTGTGTCTCCCGGCCACTCTGTGTACATCAGAGGGGAAAACATCACCCTGACCTGTTCGGCTCCTACAGAGGTGGATGTGGCAAGATATACCTTCTACAGGAAAGAAGATCAGGTATCCAAGGAGCTGCAGCGGAACGAGATGGGGCCTTCTGAAACATTTCGAGTGGATGAAACAGCTTCTGGGAATTACAGCTGTGCCTACTGGCTGTTGACATCTGGGCGGGAGCTTGAGTCCAGTCGGAGCAGCTTCAGCTCCATAGCCTGGACAGGTGAGTCAGTCCCAGGTGTGGATGGATGAAGGCCCAAAGTTTTCCTTTCCTGACACCAGCTTGGCCTTTCTAGAGTCAAAAGCAAGGCTTTTGGTCTTTTTAAATTCTTTGAAACGTGGGTAGTGTCAGAGTTGCCTGGAAGTTGCCCTGCCTGCCCTGGGACCTCTCCTGTCAGTTGCAGCTGTCAGAACGTAAGGTCAGATGCAGGAGAGATCAGCTTTTGCTGGCCTCGGGTTGCTCTTCTCTATTTCCCCATTGCAGAAAGATCTTTTAGCACTGAGATCCTGAAAATTCAGAGTAATTCTGGTCCCTTCAGCTCCCTCCCTTCCCAAGGGTGAGTTTTAGAAACGCAATAGGAACACGAATAGAGAGTTAAAATGAGCACCCAGAACAACAGGGGGTCTTTTGTGTGAAGAAGAAGAGAAAGTGGGAAGTGGCTTGAAACTGGATATCAGTTTGTGGTTTTGCTATTTGCGTATTACTGGAACTCAGTTTGGAATCCTGTCCTTGAGAAAGCCTTAACTACTTGGACATACCCTGAATAGTTGATTTGTTTGCTGAGAGAATTAACTTTAATCATCTCTTTAATATTTTAAATGTTTTCAATGATTTGTTATATTATTCTTATATTCTTACATTATTCTTATAATATCATGTTAATAGTTGTATTGATTGGCTTGGTTAATTCTTTTCCAGGGGGATGGTATGAGTGTCACCCCTCCAGAGTTGGTTGGCAAATGAATTTAATAAATGAGTGTATGGAGGTGTTAATGTGCATGTGAAAATGCCTGGGGAGAGCCCCACCAGGTTTTCCACCCAGCCCATTCACACCTTAGTCCCAGATGGCTCCCTGCCCTGCCCCACAGGGTAATTTAGAAGAAAACATTCAGACATTGAAAAAGGAAGGATGAGCTAGCTTTGCTCTAGGGGGTGTCCCTGGTGCTTCTCTTTGGCCCGCCTTTTCCAGACAGGCAGCATCTGTGGGTGTTATGGGGCAGCCTTTGATTTGATTTTGATTTATTGATTTATATCCTGCCTTTTTCCTACAAAGGGCTCAAGGCAGCTTACATCATTCTCCTCCTCCATCTTATCCCCACAACAACCCTGTGAGGTAGGTTGGGCTGAGAGGCTGTGACTGGCCCAAAGTCACCCAGTTGGCTCCATGGCCAAGCGGGGACTCGAACCCAGATCGTCTGAGTCCCAGTCCCATGCTCTTAACCACTACACCACACTGCCTTTTGCCCAACCATAAATTGCTAGCAATACAACCCCACCCAGTACAGTGAAGGGGACTGCCAGGGCCTTGGGGGCCCACCCTGCTTCTCTCCATACACTGATGGCAACAGGTCAGTGACAAAGCCTTTGTGTTGCCTGCAGAAGGTCCTGGGTCTGAAATGCAGCAGGACTCTCTTCTCCAAAATGCAGGGGAGCTGCCCAGCATGAGCTGCTCTGGATTCGGCTCTCCCACGTACAACAGCCATGATATCCCCGTGTCTGTGGCCACTAGGATCCTGATCTATCCACTGGACAGTGCTCACATTCAGGAGTGATGGTGCATTTGAGTCTCCTCTTCTGCAGTTGGGAAATGTCCATGTTCTTCTTCACGTGCAGGACAAATGGCAAATGTTTAGCCGGTGCAAATATTTTCACCCCTCCAGTTAGGGTAGCTGAGCTGGAGGAGGTGAGGGAGAAGCAGGCAACTAGAAGAAAACTTCTTGAGAGCTCAGAGGATGCGGCTGAGGGCTGAGGATGCCCTGCGGAGGCAGCAGGAAAGCAGTGCAGAATCCCAAAGCTTTGGGTGATGGCTGTTTGTGGCTCTGTTTGCGGCTCATGCATGAATCTCTAATTCAGGGGGTCACAACCTTTTTGGCCCCAAAATATGGCTTGTGTAGAGAAGCCCAGAGCCCAAGCACACACACACACAGAGACATATTCCTGGGATCATGTCAGAGCACAACACCCACCCCCCCTTCCTAATGACTTCCCCTTTGTGGTGGACCCCAGATCCTCCTCCTCCTCCGGTCCTCACTGTGGACCCTCCATCCGGAGAGCTGCGGGAAGGCGACCGCCTGCTCCTCTCCTGCTCAGCCGACGGGAGCCCTGCTGAGAGGAGGTTTCGCTTCTTCAAGGATGGGGCTGAGTTGGCCTCCAGCAGCGAAGACTCTCTGGGGAGCTCCAGAGAACTTGGAAACGCCTCCACAGCTCTCCGCATCCTCCAAGCCGAGCTCCACCACACCGGGGAATTTGGCTGCAGGTATGAGGAGAACGTGAGTGGCCGCTGGATCTTGTCTCTCTGGAGCCCCAAGGTGGACATCACAGGTGCGTCCTTTGTGGGAAAGGGTTAAGATTGCTTCAGGGGTAGCATCTACCATTTCTGTCAATTGAAGGGGGCCCAGCTGTACCATCGAAGGAAGTTTGCAAAAACACTCGACTTCCTTGGTGCACCTGAACAACCAGCTCCTGGCCTTCCAGTCCCTCTCCCTCAGCCTCTGGAACATCCTGTCATGCGGGCAGCTCCTACGGCCGGCAACAGTCTTCTCTTCAGGCTACTCTCCAGCTCCCAAAGTCCCCCCTCAACCATGCTTTGGAAAGCCCAGTACTCGCTACCTGCTGGGGACGGGGAAAATACGGGTGCCAGAATTCAGAAGCAGAGGACGATGGCTATTTTCAAGGGTAGCTTAAAGTATGTTTAGGACCTAACCTGAACCCACTTACCTACCTGCCTAGAATGTTCAAGAACAAGACAGGTGAGAAACCGAAGTTCACAACTCCATTTTCTCCCCTTTTTCTCAGTTTCAGCAAAATGGACTCTGGAATACTTGTGTTTCGCTCTTGTACTTCTGCTTCTGCTTATCCCGCTTGGGGTCTGTTTCTGGAGAAAGAGGAATGGTAGGTGTGGGGAGTTGGGGGCCTTGCCATTCCTTGCAAAGCCGATGGGGCACGGGGGGGGTGGGGCACTATTTATTTATTTATTTATTTGGAATACTTGTATGCCGCCCCATTCGCATAAGCCTCGGGGCGGCTTCCAACAAATAAATAACAATATACAAAAATATAAAACTGGACACATCCAGGCAATAAATAAAAGCGATAAATAATTTAACAAATTGATTAAAATAGCATTTAAATAAAAAGGTCTTAGCCTGGCGCCAAAAAACAAATAACGACGGTGCCAGGCAGACCTCTCTGGGGAACGTATTCCATAATTGGAATTTAACCTTCATTGTGAGGAGAATTGCCAAGGTTGAACTCCAGGCAAGGAGAATTGGCACCCTCCGGCCTGCAGTTGAACTTCCAAGTGAATGCTCTTTTCAGATCCTTTCTCTCTTTTTTCAATTTGGAAGGAGCGAAGCAAAAAACTGAGCCAGAAAAACCAGCGCAGGACGTGCAGGATCCCCAGTCAGGGCAGGTAAGAATGAGACAAGAGTCCTGTGCCGTTATCAGTTCATCCATGCAGTGCCGGGAAAGTGTCTGAACTGGGGGGCCAGTGTGGCGTGGCTGGAGCAGGGCTGGCCTGGGACACTGGAGACCGAGGTTCTTACCCCCACTCAGCCATGACTCCCGGCCTGGCCTGCCTCGCAGGGTCATCGCTGGGAGGGTAACATGGAGGGTGAACCAGACAAGCCTCGTTGGGCTCCCGATAAGAGGGGCGTCCATGTTATGTAATAAATGTAACACTATCATTCTAATAGTAACAGCCGCAACGAAACCCCCAAGTTGCCGTGAGATGTGGGAACGTTCCCGGGGGAGATGCTTTAGCAAAAAGGAAAAGCGTGACAAAGGACACGTCAAGAGTGATTCTTGGGGGAGGCCAAATGGCAGGTCTCTGTAAAGAGGAAACAGATCCTTCTGGGGTCGCCTGCAAGGGAGAAACAGAGGGGTGTTGATCAGTGCTGACCTGTTGCGCTGGTGCTGGGGCGAAGGAGACCCGCATCTGATCCCATGAGGCAGTTCTTTCCTTCTGGGGGTGCAGCCGGGTGTTTGGACCGTGTCTCCTATGGACCCAGTTCCCTGCACTCCTCGAGGGCATCCCATAAAAGTGGGACCTTGTGAAGCAGCTCCAACCACTGGGGGAAGAGCCTCCTTCTGAACAGACTCCTCACCGGCTCTTTCCAGAGAGGAGCCGCTCACTCCGTCCCCGTCTTCTTTTCCAGGAATCAGAGCTCACCTACGCCCTCCTTGACTTCCCCGCTGCTGCAGCCCACTCAGGCCGTGAGGGCGAGAACAGGCTGCGAATGGCACAAATGAGGACGGTGGTGTACAGTGAGGTTAAGCTCCCCCCCCCAGGGAACAGAGCAGCAAAATAAAACGGGCACGGAGCACAGACACGTCTGACCAGGCATAGATCCCCCTTGGAGCATTTCCGTGAGACCTTCAGCACCATCCTGGAACCCTCTTGAGATCCACCGGGGAGCTTCGAAGGAGCATTTGACTGACTCATGGGGAGCAGGAGAGCAATCCAGGGCTGCTCCTCGCGATGTTTACAGTTTACCTCCAGGATGGGAGGCCGAGCAGCTCCCATCCTGGGTGGGAGGACATGTGCAGGGTGCGGTTGTCTTCTTGGCTTTCTGCGGGAGCCACTTGGTGGCCTCTGTGTGGACAGAATGCTGGGCTGGGCAGGTGGGGGGCGGGGGGCGGCACTGATCCAGCCGAGCTCCTCTCGAAACCTTCCTAAACCAGAGCAGCTTCTTTTCTGCACCTCGGCAAAGTCCGGAGAGCGGCTGATACTGTCTGCTCAGAGAGGGGGCAGGTGGAGTGGACACGGTGGCCGCTGCACCTGGATGGGAAGCCTTGAGACCATCCATGACCACGCGGTCCCGCCACTCGCAGGAGAGCAACGACGGGGCACCCACGACACACAGGTGGCTCGATAGCACTGACAGGATCTGGCCAGTGGCATCTTTTGCAGGGTGGAAGGAAAAGCCACCTGCTGGGAAATAACGGATTAACCTCTTAGTAGGTCATTTTGGTTGAAAAACAACATGCTTATCCTGGAAAAGAAATACATGCGTAGATATATACACCAGCTGAATTCTCCCACCTTCCTGGCCCCTTCAGGACATGGTTTGGCCTAGGGAGAGAAAGCACTACTGTTCCCAGCATTCTGCAGTAAGCATGAATGGCTGGGGATGCTGGGATATGCAGGACTTCTGCTGCCTAAACAGGCAGAGGATGGTGCCGTAATCACCTTTAAAAGCACAATATCGTGCTTCCAATTCAAAAAGTTTGCAAACAGCAGGTGTGAACATGTGTAGATCTCCAAGACAAAATTCTCTGGGCAATTTCCACAGATCAAGGATGCAATCCTACTGACATGTAGACAGAAACATTTCCTACAAATCCAGCATTCCCCAGCCATCCTGAGCATAGGAGACATTCCCGGTGCTCCTAGTTATTCAGGGGTTGGTCACCCTGTCCAGTTCTTATTCGCTCAAATGACCCAACCCCAAACAAACAAAGCCCCAACTCCAAAACACAACCGAAAGAGTTGTGTAGTGAGAAAATACACATTACGTCCTAGAGTCAGTGTAATATTAATAATGTATATTTTAATTTGTATTTGGGGCATTTAAAAAAAATCACTGACTTAATGCAGAATCAGGATGGAGAGGATCAGAGGTTAGCACTTGCCAAAGGAGGCAGCAAACAATCCAACTTGCTGCCTCGGAAGACGCGGGGAAATCCTGGCTGAGCTGAGAAATGGCGGAGAGGACGGAGGGTGTGGATGGAGAGGGGAGGGGGATGCCCGGCTGCAGGGACCCCTCTGATCCCTCCTCTTCCAATGGCCAAGTTTGCTGTCTGTGTTGGGAATCCCTGGAGATTCTTCCTCCTCATTTCTTCATTTTAAAGCTTGGAGGTTGGCTGCAGCATCTGTGAACACCGGTGCACCTGAGGATACCCCTTTTGAGCCCACCAGGTTCCTCAACCCTCCTAAATTTTATTTATTGCAACTTTAAAAAAATATTCAAGGGGGATCATGCCCTACCAGGCTGGCACGCTGCAACAGACAGTTCTGTCCTTAGCACCAATCTCGTAGCTTCCAAAGGATGGGATGCTCTCTTGGTGTTCAGAGCCAACTGCTGGATTATACTTGGGTTCTTGGGCAAAATATGGTTTCTTTAGTCTCACCCACTTGACTTCTGGGAAATGAGTGTTCGGCGATGGGCCATGTGACATCCACTTCCTGAGAGAGCCCAACAAAAATTCCAGATGTGGGTCCAGGGCCCAAAATGTGGGGACGTCTCTCCCAAAGAGTTGATCCTTAAAACACAGAGACACACGCATGAATGGGAGAATCAACAGAGGCTTATCCTGACCTTTGGCTGCATTTTACCAGGGCATATTGTACGGCACTGAAAAGCAGGATTAGGGCAATAAATAGATGATCAGCAGCCGATGCACCATAGGCTCAAGGGAATCTCAATTTTTCAATGACTACTCGATTTTTAAAAGGGTCACAAAATGCATATATTTTATTTTATTTATTTATTTTTCGATTTACATCCTGCCTTTTTCCTACAAAGGGCTCAAGGCAGCTTACATCATTCTCCTCCTCCATCTCATCCCCACAACAACAACCCTGTGAGGTGGGTTGGGCTGAGAGGCTGTGACTGGCCCAAAGTCACCCAGTTGGCTCCATGGCTGAGCGGGGACTGGAACCCAGGTTGCCCGAATCCCCAACTCTTAACCACTACACCACACTGGTATATTCCTGAAACATGCACAGAGAAATTAATCTGTCAGTGAAAACAGCACTAGCGTTCATTCAGTTAGAGCATCGCTTGCCAAAAATGGCACATACAAATGGTAGACCATCTGCACACAAAAATGCATATTCGTTTTTATGTGGACCTAATTAAACAGTGAACGGCCCACAGGAAAAGTCCATTAATTAATTAGAGAATGATCCTAAAGCTCTTAGCATCTGAGGGACCATATGATATTCCAAGGGAAGCAGGATTATACCAGACTCATTTATTTGAAAATTGGGTGCATTTTTGCTCCCAAAATGTACACAGTGCCAAAGGATGGCTCTGAAGCCTTCAGTCATCTTCCCTTCTTCCAAACTGCGAAGGGAAGTGTGATCAGTAGAGAGAATATTATAAAAACATTCTTCCCCAACCTGCTGCCCTCCCAATGGGTTGGACTGCAATTCCCATCTTCCCCAGCCATGGAGAACAGCAGGTGGAGGAAGACGGAGGCCAGCATTCAGCACTGGCGAAACCAGTGGGGAGATCAGACAGTAATCTGCCCATGGGCAGTAGCTAGGCAGCCAGGCCGCTCCCAGTGGGAGCTTTCCGATCCCCAAAGCTTTGGTTGGTGGCCGTACATGGGCACCCGGCCTCCCAGATGTTCTCGGGGCAAACAGGACCTCGCCTCTCACCAGGATGTGGCTCCCAAGCATCCTCTCCCAGTGCGAGAACAGGCCCTCCTTGCTCACCCAGAACGCGCAAAATTGTGACAGCCAAAGAGAGATCTCTCTTTGGCGGTTCCCCTTGAGCGGTGGACCTGCTGGGGTCCGTTCACATCAGGCCCGGCCGTCTCTCCCGTCCTCCAGAAGTGGCTGGGCTGAGAGGGCCAGCACCAGCCCGGCTCCTGGCTTGACCAGTGTCCTCTTTGTGGCAGATGTTGAAATGAAGCAGCATCTCCTGCTCCAACTGAGGTCCAGATGTTCCTTTGGGCCAGGACGTGTGCGAGGATGCAGGGGGCCCCTGTTAATAGTACATCTGTTATGTTACCGGCTGCTCTGAAGAGCTCAGTGGAACAGATGGGTGGTCCAGGCGGTGGCACGTGTGGAACAGAGGGCTGATGCATGGAGGCCCCTTCCTCAGTCTGTGGGCTGGGCGTTGGGGAGGCTGCTGGCAGTCTCCTCTGCCCGCCTCCAGCCCACCCAAGCAGGGTTTCCTGCCCAGACCGAGCTGTGCAACATGATACACAAACCACGGAGGTTCAGGGGACTCGGCCTCTCGAGCATGCTCTGCTCGCTCCCCTCCTGCAGCCACATCACAACTCTTGGGAGGATTTGGTGGTGAAGGAGGAGAGGAGAAGCCACAGCGGGGCGGATGTGGGTGGCTACCTTGGCAGCACCGAAGGAAAGGTTCTGCCGAGCGGCGTGCGGGCAGCCTGTGGGTGCAGGGCTCTGGGAGACCATGTGCTTCCTGCCATGCGCTTTGTCTTGCGAGATAATCAGGTGAGGAAGACCTCATCGGTAATCTTTCTTTGGAAAGAGGGCAGAGCGGTGGTGGACCAGAGGACCCGGCTGTGGCCTTCAAGGGATCTGCTCTGCCCATGGCGTCTGAGGCTTTGGTGGCAGGTTCGTGGCCTCACTGTTTTGACTGCTTCTCTCAGGTGGGACACGGAACCCTTCTCTCCCTTTCCCCCTCCCCTGATTTTCACCTCCTTTCCCCTTCTGTTCTTCTCTTCCAGTCGTTCTCCAGCTCCTGTTCCTATGGCATTCGTGCTGCAGAGGTAAAAGTGACTTTCGGCCACATAGAGGCTCAGAGTATCACTTCTTAAACATTTGACAGATGCAATTGCTCTGCAAGAGGCTGAGCTCCAACAGGTGAAGGTTTGCAGAGAGTGTTGATCAGACCTCCTTCCCCAGCAAGATTTTGCTGGTTATTCACCAGCCAGAGACAGGGATCTTGCCAGAACGAAGGGAGCAGGGCTCAGTAGCAGCAGATTCTCTGCATCCAGGCCCAGCTAAGAGGAACACCAAAATCCAAGATTCCCTTATTAGTCAGGGATCGTTTCCTGCTTTTATTTATGAGCAAAATACTCCTGCTATCACAGACAGTCCATGGAGAGAAAAGAGAGAGAGGCAGTATGAATAATGCTAAATTAGGAACCTGGTTAAGTGAGAAAGAAAGTGGGTTTCTGGCTTATTGTTGGGATTTTTATAAATCAAATTGAAGTACCTACAATAAAATAAAATAAAATAAAATAAAATAAAATAAAATATCCCAGCTTTATAAGGTTGTTCTTGCACAGAGTTACCTCTTGGTGAGGTGCTGGAGCCTCTTCGGTTTGTGGGGGGCGGGGCTGAGCCCACCCAGAACTGGGCAGGGGGAATGTTGTCGAAAGCAGTAAGGTGGAGCCGTGGGTGTGAGCTACTTTCCTGGAAAATGGGGGTGCTTGATGCTTTTGCTATTATCGCTTTCCTTTTCCCAAATCCATCCTGTGCTGTGCTCTCCTACTTTACCCCTCAGAGGAAACCCCTGCACACCCACAACTCTCTGTGTCCCCAAAACAAGACATCTACCGAACCGGGGAGTCCATCAACCTCACCTGCAGGTCTCCTACCAAGAGACCTCTGTCCATGGTTGGGTTCACCAATGGGAAGTGGGTGCTGTACATCCGTAGCCCTCCGGCCCACGCGGATTCCTTCACACACTCCCTGCACCTCTCTTCACAAGACAGCGGAGAATACACCTGCAGCTACTCACTGCAGGAATCTCCAGAACAGGTTGAATCCCAGGACAGGATCCACATCGTCGTAATAGGTGAGTCATTTTCTTCCACTCATCTCTCTTGGGAGAAGTCATGTGATTTGGTTAGAGAAGGAAAGG